GCAAAACCAACAAGAACAAAGAACGAAAAAAACAATGTACTTCTCAATCAAATAAGACGTCAAGAAAAAACAACAACAAGAGTTTGAAGTATTCGCTACACATATTTTTTCGCGTATTGTAGGAGTTATGTCCAGATAAGGTCCTTTTTTTTCCGGCGAGATTACTCCTTGTATTTGTTTTCACACCTTGCCACTTTTTTTTTCCTCCCCCCCCCCTTTTTTTTTCCATATCGTCTTCCTTCTACATTGTATCATCTTCCTCATGCCCCATTACCTCAAAGTTGTGGGGCATGAGACGGAGGAACGGAGAGAAGAAGTATATTTATTCACGTCCTCGCTTTACTGCTGCGCAACTTCTCGTATTTACGTCAAAATTTACCCCCAGTTGCTCTTCTCTTTTCTGCCGCAGCAACACGTACTGTGCCCAGCAGCTTAGTGTCGACATAGGCGTAGTTATTGACCTAAAGCAAGTGTAATGCAGGCAGGGGTAGCCGACGGTGAGAGAGAAAATGTCACATGCACCCACCACCCCGCAACACGGCGCCACAGTCGCTCTCTCAACATGCCCACGCATGCGCACAGAGGTGTGGTGCGCGATGTCGCAAAAGAAACCTCAAGGCACAAATACATACACACACAGAAACATATATATATATATATATAGCAAACGGGAGAAAGGAAGCAAAGTCAGTGTGAGTAGTAAAATAATGGGCTAGAAAGCACGGAAAAGGAGACCCAAATAGAGGGAAAGAGGCAATACTCTATCTAAACACACTCATTACCTTTTTTTTATTTTTAGAATCACTTTTCAGGTGTTGTTGTTGCTACTTTGGCTTAAATTATTCCATTTTCACTCCCCCCACGTGGGCTGTTGACGCCCCACGCGGGCAGAGTAAAATTTTCAGGCAACAACTTACAGGCATTTGCACAGATGAGTTCTTTCGTTTCCTGCTCAATTTTTTATTTCCTTTTTTTTTCCCCGTCCTCGAAACGCGAGGCGGTGGGTTGACTCGGCTCTCTCCCTCACCTTGGAAAGGAAACACACACACACACAAACACACAGCGCCCGCAACTTTTTTCCCTTTCCTTCTTTCTCTGCGGCACCCTCGTAGCACGCCGCGGGAACGTGGGCTCTGTCCTGGGGAGGGGTGCGGCGGCAAGCGCGGGGACCAAATATTACATATATATATATACGTAGGAGAGACTGACGAATGGACAAGGAAAAAAAAAAGCGAGAGCAAATGGTCACACAACAACAAAACCGCAAACAAAGAAAAATAACGATCCGTGTCGTATTGTGTGGCCTTTATTTGCCTTCGCCCTACATATATATATATATATATAATCCCTCCTTTTATCAGCCCTACGTTTTCCTCACTGTCCTTTTACTATAATTATTTTCGTTGTTTCTCTTCGTTGTAAATATCGGGCAAAATAATGAATGCGTCAAGCCCTGGAGAAACCTCCATGTAAATGTGTTGCTGGAAGATTCACAAATTAAATCAAACTGTAGTTCATAATAATCGCATACAGTATACATATATATATATATGGATATACGTGTGTGCAACGGCAGAGAAGCCATGAAATCGATATATGCAAAAAGGTGGAGTGCAGAAAAAGAGCGCAGTACATAACAAATCACCTTTTTGGATCTTGTTATTTGTCTTCTCTCCTCGGAGGCTTGTCAACCCACAACACAAACCACAAAAAGTAAAGAAAGTAAAAAAAAAAAAACAAGTGGCGGCAAGTGCGCAAAAAAAATTGAATGTAGAGAAAAAAGCACCTGCACCGAAAGACAAGAAAAAAATCTGAAACAAAAATTGCAGTTGCCCATAGTAAAAAAAAAACGCCTACTCATGAAAAAAAAAATAGGTATATATATATATATATATAGATATATAGATATATATCACCAATTTTTTGATTTTGCCTTGCTTCATGTGTCTCAGCCGAAGTTCTTTATTTTCACCGCATATTTAAACATAAATGCAAATATAGATACAGAAATATAGACCAATATGGAGGAAAAAAAAATACAAAGTGGTGGTGGTGGTGGGGGAGGGGGGAGGAGCGGAAACAGCGGTGTTAGATGCGACCAGGCACGACGGGCATAACCCTCCTTCACGCAGAGTAGGAAGAACTTCTCCATACACGTACGCGCGCGTTTTCCGCCTCTATATATATATGTATATATATATATATAATGTGTTTCCTTCAATTCCACTCACTGTCATTCACTTGTTTGCTCGTTGTTCCTTGAAGCGCGTGCTCTTTCCTTCCCTTCTTCCAGTTTCATAGAAAAAGTATTTATTGTTATACATGCGTGCAAGTGCACGCATCTGTCTACTTACATAAATATATCCCACTCACGCTCCTTTGTACCTACAAGGGCAAAAAACAAACCAAAACAGACGCATAAAAAAATAATAATAATAATAATAAACAACAACAACAACAACGTCATTCCCTGCACAGAAACGTACAGTGATCCTACACCTCACCTTTTTATGTTTCTTTCAAGGAAGCAGAGGCGTCTTGTCACCGTCTGACCAAATAGAACAATCCAGGTTATCCACAAATGTCCATTCAATGGGATTCGTCACCGCACTGGAGCTGCTGCGTGCGCTGCCACCCCCCACCGACGAAGATGAGCAAGGCGACAAGCGTGTGGCGTTCTGAGGAACTGCGAGGTAAAAGTTCTGATTGGCGGATGCCCCGCTACTGGCAGCAAAGTCAAACCCCTCAGAAGGAGCATTCTGTCGTCCCACTGAGCACGACGTTAAGGCAGCTTTCTTCTTGTTCGCCACAGCAGTCTCCTTGCCAAGCCCACTGGAACGTTCGAAAGCAAGTGGCTTTGAGTGTTCAGTTCGTTTTTTGATCGGCGCAATGGTGTTGGAAGCTGGTGCACGCTTAAAGTCCTCCTCCACGTTCGGGTCCACATGAATGGTATGAATAAAGTTGCAGTTCTCCCCTCGGTTGCATAGACGGTTGAAGTAGTAGTGGGCGCAGCGCGAGGGCGGCCCCGCGTGACTTTTCCGGTTGAGACTACCGCGCGTAACCAGAATGCGTTCACTCGGAAACGTCTCGGCGGGTTCCCGGCCATTTGGGGCCAACACAAAAATCATCTCTCCAGGTGGAAGACGCTGATACGTGCAGCGCTCCACGCTTCGCCAGGAGTAGTTCACGTGAATCGGACACTGCGACGCCCCTGTTGTATCGGCATGCACAAACTTGCACATGGAACCCTTCCAGCAGCTCTCCGGGTGCCCAGGGACATATTTTCGACATAGAACCAAGCGTGAAACGCCCAATGACGCGTGTGGCACCTGCGCAATCGCAGAGACTGGAAGAGAAATAATGCTGCTAAAGTCAGGAGCATACACATCAACGCGTGACTCACCACTGACCTTATCACACTTTTCATTACCATTAATATCAGGCTTGCTTTGCGCAGGCGCGGGGGCTTGTTTGCTGCAGTCATTGCCTGGAACATTGGCAAATTGTGGTGAAGCCAAGCTATTCCCATTTGGCTCCACTGTAGTTGGGGAAAAATGATAGGCAAAAGGCATTGGATGCGGAAGAATATGCGTGGTAGGTGATGCGAGCGGGGAAACCGAATTCTGGAAACTAGGAATTGTCGCCTCACCCACGAATCCGACCGGCGTTGACGGAGAGAGGGCTCTTTCTCCAGCATCTCTCGAAGATCCTTCAAGCGAAAAATTCCCACTGCTGCTGCGGCTATAGCCCGTGTGGAAAGGCTCACTCCCAAGTAATTGAGGAGGAGTTAAGGGGCCTGGAGTGGCCAAGACCAATTGCTGGACGGGTACACAAGGAATGGGTTGCCCATCGCCTATATTTACCATAAACACAGTTTGCTGCTGCATCGGCTGGGGAAAAGGGGCCCTCACCGCACTGATTGGGCTACGGGGAGCTGGTGACAACACAGCAGCCGAAGCAGTACTTGTAACAGCGGCAGTATTCCCAGTCAAAGGAGTAGGCGACGCAGACGGAACACTTTGAGCTGGAATACAAGCGGGTGATCTTCCAGAGTTTGCTTGCATCATGTAGACATAGGGTGCCAAGGAGGTCGAACCTCCCCGCAAGGCGCATGACGAGGAATTTATGGCTGAACCAAAAAACCGTGACTGTGTGCCTCCAGCGGCACCATTTTCAAACGTGCTTCGGTCACCAAAATGTGCCTGATACATAGCATCCCCGCAACACACGTGACTATTGGGAGTGCACATGTTTGAAATAAGCCAATCACACTTACTGCACTTCCGTCTCGCCCGCAAACCCTCGTTTAATGTTTGCTTGTTGTCGTGTTGTTGTTGTTGTTGTTGTTGTTTTGAAGTTAATTTGCAAATTCTATATTTTGTTTTTTTGTTTATCACGCCACCCACTCGCTCCCAAGCTTTCACTCCAACGGCGGGTGCTTTTCTTTTTTTCTATTTCGTATTATTATTTTTTTTTTGCTTATTCTGTTTTGTTTTTGTTTTTTTTTTCCTCCGTTTCTTGCCGTTTCCCTTCGCGTCACCTCCAGTGGACGCGACCGTGCAGTTTCCGTCCTCCGTCGGGGGCGGCGGGGTGGGCGGTGGGTGGTCGTCAACGCCCGGTGCTCCGACGCCTCCCAAAACCTGCAGCGACGGCCTCGACGGGTCCAGGTGTCGCTTGCCGGAGGGCGCCGCAGAAACGGCGATCAGAAAAGGCGGGGCACACACTCACGCTAAAAAAAGAACAATTAAACAAAAAAAGGCACACAACAAGGGGCTGACGCAGCTGCCAAAGAATATTGGCAAACAAAAATGTACCGAGGGGGTGCGGTTCCCTTAACCCTTCCTTAGTGGGTCCTCTCCTTATCAGGGACGAACTGCCGGCTTCGGGAACGACGGGTGTAACTGACGCCCTGCAATCGCAATTCCCCTCGGCGGTGGTGAAGTTCCTCGCGCTCTGTCGTTAATTTTTCTCTCCTTCGTTCCTCTGCCGTGCATGTGTGGAAGAAAAAAAGAACAACAACGACAACGTTCTCGCCGAGAAGCGGGACATTGAAGCAGCAGCCACACAGGAGTAGGCAACGGAACAAAGGCCATCAATTGCCTCACAGCGCCAAGCAACATATGCGCAGAGCGACAGCTCAAGGAAGCACAGTCAAAAAAAATTATTTAAAGGATGATTGGAAGCAAAATACATCGTTTTTTTACTGTTTTGTTTTGTTTTCTTTACCAGTCGGAGAACAGGAGCAAATATGTGATCCTGTGAAGGCCTCCCGCTCGCCATTCATCTCCTACCATCACCTTTCCTGCGTGGGTTTGTACGACCGTCTTCAAAGAGGGGGAACAAAAAAAAAAAAGAGATCGGAAGAATGAATGCCTACAATACTCCCGCTTTTTTTCTTACACTCACATCTTTGTTTTAACCTACTTTTTTTTCCCGTTTCGGCTGTGCTAGGTGTGTGGCTTCGCAAGCTGTTTTTTTTTTTTTTCTAGCTCTCTCTTTCTCTCTCTCTCGTTCCGGCCCTCCTTCACTGTTAGAAACCCATTTTGGGTGCCCACTGTGCACCACGCCGTGGGGGCACGCGTGACGGCGCCAGCTTTGCGGCAGGCACAAGTTCCCGGCCTCGCCCCCGCGCACCCGCAGCTTCTGCGCCTACGCATGGCCCCTCTTGGGGAGGGGGCGAGTTACGACCCCTCCTTCACAGCGGAGTTCCCCGACAACTTATCTTTTGCCGCAACATCGGCGTCGGTGGCCGCACGAATACGGGCAATCAAGACGCTTGTGGAGATGCCCTCGGCGCGGGGGGCGGTTCGCAGAATCCCAAGTCGCCTCGGGACGGCGTAGAACGTGTCATCAGGGCGGTCGTACTCGGTGCCGCAAACAACAACGTGAATGTTATGCCGCTTGATCATCTCCTCCGTCACCCCCGAGACGGGGCTGTTTGGGATAACCTGCGAAACAAACTTGCACAGCCGCACCTCGTTGACGCGCTCCTCCGTTGTCATGATGGGGCGTCGCTTGTAATTCTCACAGTCCTCGTCCCCGCAGACGCCGACAATGAGACGGTTGCCGTGCTGCAAGGCCTTCTGCATGAAACTTTTGTGTCCCGCATGACACAAGTCAAACACGCCGTCGCAAAAGACGTTCTTCACCGGCACAAACAAGGGAATCCGGGTGGAGTAGGAAAGATCCACGAGCATCCCAATAATGTAGAGAACTGAGGCGACAATGGAAAAGAGGTCATTAAGCACGGAGCCGACGCATATAAACAAGACGGCGGCATGCACACGACGCCTGGCAACGTTGCTGACGTGCACTTCTATTGAAAGAAGCGCAATCACAAGAGCCCCACTAATGACGCTGAGAATGCTGTAATGATTCAACGACACAAGTCTGTAGAAAGGCACAAAACGTGCACTCAGACAAAGCGCAATCCCACTCTTGTACTTGCGATTCATTTTCAGCAACGCCACATTCAAAAAACTCAACATCACCAATAGCAGGAAGCTGTACATGGGAAAATTGGAGGTGAACAACAAATAAAAGCCCGTGTCGGGGTAGACCAGACGAATAATTAAGGCGCACAAGATCAATAAGGACAACTCCGAGTCACGGAAACAGTAAGTAAGGTGATACGCGAGGTTCTTCGCCTTCTCCCGCTTCAGGTTATCTGCGTTGATACGACTAAGCACTGTATTAAACTCCACTAACTGCAGCGCCATGAGCAAGTACCATTCCGTTTGACGATCACTCACATGAAAGGCCTCCATAAGTGTCAGGGCAAAAAATATACGCGAGATACTGCTACAGACACGAGCGAAAATGTCACCCAGCGGAGTTGCAGATCGGAAGTGCTTTGCGTGAACACCATCCAGCGAGCCGCACACAAGCGACACAATACACAATAAACACGACAACAAGATGGGAGTCTGATCCTGTAGGCTACCAGAATCCACTTCCCCCACTTGGTAATGATCGCTAATAATTTGGTAGGACTGCATGGAGCTTACCAGGCCCGCAAGTGTGATGGCGTTGGGCGCCACCATCTCAGGCACCACGTGGCGACTCATCGCCAGCCAGAGTGGGTGGAAGATCACCGTGACCAGGCTGCTCGGACGCGTGTCAACAAACGTCTCCGCATGGGCGATGCGGTCGCGCTCGAGGGGTGTGAAGAAAAAGCTGTGGTCAATGAGATTAGATGTCATATTCGTTATGATAGATTGGACCCGTGGCAAAACAGGAGGCTGCCCAGGACGAAGCAAGCGGGGATGGAATCAGTTAAGCCGGCGACTATAGCAGTCCCCCAACGCGCAACGATATAAACTGGCACCGACAAGGGCAAGGGGACGTCAAGAGTCAATGCGTATTGTGTAGCAAAAGAGGCACCACGCAAAAAACAAAAAAAAATAGTACAACTAAAGTTCGCTTACAATGCTGCGTGTACACGCGTGTGCGGGTGCAGCGAATTCTCTCTTTATATATCTATCTCTCTCTCACTCTGTTTTTTTTTCCTGTCCCTCGTGTTTGTCAACCGTTGCGGAACCACTACCTAAGCGGTTGGGGGTAATTCCGAAATGACGAATGTGAGCTGGCGCGGTGTTTGGCCCTTTCCCGCTTTTGTTTCCTCTGCTTCGCCTTCGCCAATCTCTTTTGGCCAATTCTTTTGTTGTTGTCGTTGATGTTTTTTCGTATCCGCTTCGGTGTCTGTTCTTCTGGACCCCGCACCCTTCGCCGCGTCCACCCGCGGGCACCGTAAGGAGGTGGGGAAAAGATAAACGAAAAGAAAAAAAAACAGGCTGGAAGGTCGTGTACAAACCCAAAACCAACGGTCTCACGTCAACCACACGAAGCCGTCGAAGAAGAAGAAGAAGAGAGTAACACCAGCAACAACAGAAAAAGAAGAAACAAACCAAAATATATATATATATATATATTTGTACTACCTTCGTGCCCTGTCCACGGAGTTGCAGAATACATATCCATGGACTCCCCCACCTTTGAAAACGCCCCTTCTCAAATACGTCAGGCAATAATACTCCTTTGGTGGCAAGGGGCAGGGAGTGACAGTGCACACACGAAACATGAGGAAAAAAGGAGAGTATACGTCCTCAGTGCGGAAAGCAACGAAGAAGAAAAAAAAAACGCACAGACAAGTATATATATGCATATATATAAATGCTCCACAGGAGAAGATGTTCATTCCAGCGTAACAAAGTACATAAACACAAATTGTAAACGTGCACGCATGCATTGTTGCATGTGTGTGTGTGTGTGTGTGCGTGTGTAAACATTCAAAGTTGTCTCCCACACTCTTTTACTCTTTTATTATTTTTTTTTGCACCTTTGCGCCCTGCAAAACCCCACGGTCCTTCACGCACTCAGAGTGGCCCCTCCGCCTCCCTCGCTCCCTCGCGTCTTAAAAGGGCCAAAAGAAAGTGCGCATGGCTGTGAAGACGAATTACATGGCGAAAAGTCCCCCCCCCCCCCAAAAAAAAAAAAAAAAAAAAAACGAAAAAAAACAAACACGTACATTACAACGAAACGACCGT